TGTTGTTTGGTGGGCCCAGGCTGGATTTGAACCCGCCACCTTAGGTGTATGTGGCTGGCGCCTTAGCCACTTGAGCCACAGGTGCCGAGCCTAAAAAAAAATTTTTTTAATGTCAATTGTAGGCTGGGTGCGGTAGCTCATTCCTGTAATCTCAGCACTTTGGGAGGCCAAAGTGGGTGGATTGCTTGAGCTCACGAATTTGAGACCAGCCTGAACAAGAATGACACCCTGTCTCTAAAAAGCTGGGCATTGTGACAGGTGCCTGTAGTCCCAGCTGCTTGGGAGGCTGAAGCAAGAGAATTGCTTGAGCCCAAGAGTTTGAGGTTGCTGTGAGCTATGACACCACAGCACTCTACCAGGGCAAGAAAGTAAGACTCTTTGTCTCAAAGAAAAATTCAATTGTTTGTCAACGTTGTTAGATTTTAAAAAGAAGATGCAAGTTTTATAAGACATGCAATCATTACACTTCACATACGTGAAATTCAGCTCTATCGGGATGAAGGTAAATGAAAGGGTCATGATCAGGCATGGGAGGTGTTATGAATTGCACCTTTCTGTTTTGAATCAATAGGTTAGTTATTGCCCAAGTACCCTGTTACCCCTGGCTCTTCAGTCATTGTTCCTATTAATCGCTTGGGTTCCTGGAGCTTTAGAGAAAGGCCTAGCTTTTCTCCCTAATGGGTAGAAAGGCCTGCCTGGCCTGAAAGTCCACACTTGAGTAAAGTCTTAGGAGCTCAGGCATTCAAAGGCTATTCCTATTCTCTTCATGGCAAAGCCCATATCAAGCTATTTACAGACACTTTAAAATAAGTTGGACCCAGGAGCCAGCCCTTAGAGAGACGATCAGTTAAGTTCAGGAGTGTGGTCTGAGGTGAAGAGAAAAGCCTGAGCTCCGCCTGAGCCCTTGCTGAGCTGGCAGCCAGTAGCCTTCCTCCTGGTCCATGACCTGCTGGGTCTCAAATGAGGCATCTGCAGTATACCTGCCTGTTTCTCCAGTGATTCTTGTTCCCCCACAGCTGCTCCCCCCAGGCCCTCCTGCCCTGCAGTGGCTGAAATACCATTGACTATGGTCAGTGAGGAAGAGCAAGTGCATCCCATTCGAGGCAGCTCTTCTGCAAACGCTGGGAACTCAGGTAGATATGCTGAGCTGTCTACTGTTCTGTTCCGAGTGCAGGGCAGGTAGTTACCATCTTGTTCTAATCCTGGCCTACCCTTGGCCTATAGGGTACAAGGCCTGTATGTCACATGGGGATATGTCTTTATGTGGCCATGGAATCAGTCTTTCACAAGAGGTGAAAGATTGAGCAGAAGCCCTCTGACCTTGAGGTGTTGTCACAGCTAAGGTCTTGGATGACACATGTAGAACAACCTAAGCAAGGACTGTCTCATCATTTTTTGGTTGTTTGAGAAAATAGGCAAGAGTCAGAGCTTCAGTTAGAACTAGAGCGCTGTTACCACTACTCTGACCTCACATTGACTAAATCACTACTCTATTGACTTGTCAATCCCAAGAGTCACATTTGTTGCTTCTCCTTGGGTATAGTGACTTAAAAGCAAGAATCAGGAGAACACCAATGCCTAGGAAACGCCCTGTACTTAGTAAAACAGCCAAAGAAAATCATACTGGCCTAGACTGGTAATAAAGTGGGCTTCCTTGTTTCTCCCTCCCCCCTCCCCTCAGTTCGAAGAAAATCATGTCTTGTGAAGGAAATGGAAAAAATGAAGAACAAGCGGGAAGAGAAGAGGGCCCAGAACTCTGAAATGAGAATAAAGCGAGCCCAGGTACCTTTCTTGGGAGAGAAGAGCAAGGGTTCTTGGACAAGCATCCTTAATTGAAATCCTATAGGCAACAGAGATTCAGTTGGGACCCCAGCATATCTGAGGCTTCAGTTCTCATACCATGAAATTTAACTGGTTTTCTCATCAGGATTCAGAGAACAAATAATTCAGAAATTTTTCTGAAGGCCCTCAGATGAAGAATCTTTGATGCCAATTGTCCAGTGAGCAAGCCCATCACATGCTCATGTGCTCAGTTGTATGTGTTGGTTGGGAGAGGAGTCCCCTTAGCTGCTGGATTTTTTGTTCTGAGAGAGCCCAGCCTGCTACCGTGCCTCTTCAGATGTGGTGCTGTGTCCCTAGTCCCAGTTTCTAGCATGTTGGTGCATGCCTAGGCCCTTCTGCCAATCTCTGCTCCCCAGGGCTTTGTACTTGGCTTCTCAGCCTAGAGCCAACATGAGGACATCGTCAATTATGAAGGGTCATGTGCATACCCTTTGTGCATAGCACTGAGTATCTTAACAGTCTGTCCCTTTTTCCACTCTTGTCTCAAACAGGAGTATGACAACAGTTTTCCAAACTGGGAATTTGCCCGAATGATTAAAGAATTTCGGGCTACTCTGGAATGTCATCCACTTACTATGACTGATCCTGTAAGTAAGTCCAAAGGACTTCCATCTCTCTTGCCTGAGTAAATACATGTACAGTTGAGGGACAGAAAACTCCTCTTTATAGGAATGAAGGCATGCAGCAGTTTTCATTTACCTTTGAGAGATTTTTTTTTTTTTTTAAGACAGAGTCTCACTATGTTACCCTCGGTAGAGTGCCGTGGAGTAACAGCTCACAGAAACCTCAAACTCTTTCTTGGGCTCAAGCAATTCTCTTCCCTCGACCTTCCAAGTAGCTGGGACTACAGGCACCCACCACAACGCCTGACTGTTTTTTTGTTGTAGTTGTCATTGTTTAGCAGGCCTGTGCTGGGTTTGAACCCACCAGCCCCAGTGTATATGGTTAGCACCCTAACCACTGAGTTTTGTTTTGTTTTGTTTTTTGAGACAGAGTCTCAAGCTATTGCCCTGAGTAGAGTGCTGTGACATCTTAGCTCTCAGTAACCTCCAACTCGTGGGCTCAAGTGATTCTGCTTCAGTTTTTCTATTTTTAGTAGAGACAAGGTCTCGCTTTTGCTTAGGCTGGTCTTGAACTCACGAACTCAAGCATTCCACCTGCCTCAGCCGCCCAGAGTGCTAGTATTACAGGCTTGAGCCACTTTAGCTGGCCTGATTTTTTTTGTTTTATTTAGTGGACTGGAGCTAGTGAGCCCAGATGGGCGAGTCAGGGTACCCTCCCGCACCTCCCCACCAAAAGTTGGCTCATTTTTTCATTTTTTATTTTTGGCAGTCTTGCTTTGTTGCCCTGGGTAGAGTGCAGGGGTGTCAGCCTAGCCCATAGCAATCTCAATCTATTGGGCTTAAGCAATCCTCTTCCTTACATTCCTGAGCAACTGGGACTACAGGCATGCACCTGGCTAATTTTTCTATTTTTAGTAGAGACAGAGTCTTGCTTTTGCCCAGGCTGGTCTTGAACACCTAAGTTCAAGCAATCCTCCCACCTTGGCCTCCCAGCATGTTAGGATTATAGGTGTGAGCCACCGTGCTCGGCCTAGATTCTTATATTAGTAAGAATCATGAAAGGCATACTGAAAACAATCCAGTGGTACTGTCTTGTGCTCTGGAGTAGCTACTGGGGGAGGGAGTATTAGGTCTTGGCCTCTGACTGGGCCAGATATGGGATTGGAGGGAGGGGTCTGGACAAGCTTTCTTTTGATTTTGCTCTGACTCTGCTATTGGTCGTCTTCTATCATCCTCTTGCAGATCGAAGAGCACAGGATATGCGTCTGTGTTAGGAAACGCCCACTGAACAAGCAAGGTAAGCCCCATTTAGTCAGGAAGAGGCTTAGGACTAGCTGAGGGTCTCTCTGTGTCCAGGGGCACCCCCTGAAATATTTTCCTTCTGCAGAATTGGCCAAGAAAGAAATTGATGTGATTTCCATTCCTAGCAAGTGTTTCCTCTTGGTACATGAACCTAAATTAAAAGTAGACTTAACGAAGTATCTGGAGAACCAAGCGTTCTGCTTTGACTTTGCGTTTGATGAAACAGCTTCAAATGAAGTCGTCTACAGGTTAGTTCTTTTTCTCCCCTTCCTTGTGCTTCCTTGCCTCTTTTTTTTTTTTTTTTTTGAGACAGAGTCTCACTATGTTACCCTCAGTAGAGTGCAGTGGCATCACAGCTCACAGCAACCTCAAACTCTTAGGCTTAAAGTGACTCTCTTGATTCAGCCTCTCAAGTAGCTGGGACTACAGCTGCTCACCACAATGCTCGGCTTTTTTTGGTTACAGTTGTCATTGTTTGGCAGGCCTGGGCCAGGCTCTAACCTGCTAGTCCTTGCCTCTTTGATGTGGAATGTTGTGGTGGCACTACTCACAGACATACTGAATTCTCAGGCCCTTCCTGGCTGCCTCTTACATTGGAGCTCTGGCTCCTAGCACCCAGCAGGCCCTTTTTAGCTTTTGAGGTCCCTTGAGTGGATAATGGGTATAACCCATTACACTGAAGCAGGGCTGGGCAGGCTCCAGAGGTTCTCCAGTATTTTATGTGGCCACCCCAGTTTACCCACTGGGCTTAGCAGACTGGGAACACCAGATCTGGTCTGTCCAAAATTCCCACTAGCCTCAAGGCTATTCAAATCTAAGTAACATTTAAATTAAAAATTCAGTGCCTTAGCTACATTTCAAGTGATCAGTAGCCATGTGTGGCAGTGCCTACTGTTAGACAGCACAGATAGAAAACATTTCCATTATCATGGGAAGTTCTATTGGACAGCACTGTTCTCTTTTATTTATGTATTTATTTATTTGCCATTTTTGGCTGGGGCTGGGTTTGAACCCGCCACCTCTAGCATATGGGACCAGCGCCCTACCCTTTTGAGCCACAGGTGCTGCCCAACAGCACTGTTCTCAAGCAGAGGCTGACAAACTATGGCCCATAGGCCAAATCTGGTTCATTGACCCCATTTTGTGTGGCTGTCAAACTAAGAATGGTTTTTATGTTTTCAAAGCGTTATTTAAAAAATAAAACAAAAGACATGGTAGAGACCTAAGTGGCCCATGAGTCTTAAAATAATTTAGAGCCCTACCTGAAAGGGTTTCCCCTGATCTTAGTAGTATGTCTGATCTAGGAGTTGACTGCTAACCTCAAGCTTTTATTCTGTGTCTCTGAGGTCAGAGGCGGGGGCCCGATGGCTCAGAGTATGGGCCATCAGCTCGCTCTTGACAGTCTAGCACCCCCCACCACCACCACCATTTGGTCAGGGGTACTTTAGATTTGTAGGTTCCACCTGGCCCTAACCCCACTTATAAATCTCCCTCTCATGGGGGAAGAGAGGAGTGCTATTCTCAGAAAGAGGAATTAAGAGTCCACAGTGGAAGGGTAGCCCAGGAGCACATTTTGGGAACAGATATAAACACTATTCTCTCTTAATCCTTTCTCCTAGATTCACAGCAAGACCACTGGTACAAACAATATTTGAAGGTGGAAAAGCAACTTGTTTTGCATATGGCCAGACAGGAAGTGGCAAGACACATGTGAGTATTTCAGGCCTGGCAGGGAGAGAGCCTTCCCACTAGGTCTCTGAAAAGGAAGATAATGAGTTTCTTTTTCTTTCTTTTTTTGAGACAGAGTCTCAGGATGTCACCCTTGGTAAGGTGCTGTGGCATCACAGCTCACAGCAACCTCAAACTCTTTGGCTTAAGCAATTCTCTTGCCTCCCAAGCAGCTGAGACTACAGGCATGCAACACAATGCCCAGCTAGACAATGAGTTTCATACAGAAAGCTTCCCCAAGGCCAGGCGTGGTGGCTCACGCCTGTAATCCTAGCATCCTGGGAAGCTGAGTCAGGAGGATTGTGTGAGCTCAAGAGTTCAAGACCAGCATGAGAGAGAGTGCCACCCCATCTCTAAAAATAGCCAGGCATTGTGGCTGGTGCCTATAGTCCCAGCTACTTGGGAGGCTGAGGCAAGATGATCCCTTGAGCCAGGGGGTTGAGGTTGCTATGAGCTATGCCTCCATGACATTCTACCAAGGGTGACAAAGTGAGACTGTGTCTCAAAAAAAAAAAAAAAAAAAAAAGGAATCATAAAATCAATTTAAGATATGAATGAAAAATTTACTTTAAAAAACAGAAACCAAAAATTGTGGCACTCAAAAATTTATTGAAGAAAACACAAAACATATTCAAAATCTAAAAAAAAAAAAAAAAAAGACTAGATTGTGTAGAAGAAAGAATTTCAGAAAATGAAGCCAGGTCTTTTGAAATAAGCCAGCAAAAAATAAAGAAAA